AAATTATTACTTGCTGCTAGGAAGGAATATTTCGTTGTCTACCTATTTCTACTTTGTATGTTGGTTGTAGTTTGATTGCACTTACTGGTAATTATAATAATTGCCGTCGGCTAAGAAGTAGCCTGTGTTATTTGCATTGCTCTCTTCCTGCACTTAAGTGCGAACTGTAGTTTCAATTTGAGCAATTGCCCTGCTATAGGCTATTGGCTGTGCTAATTAGAAGGCAGCCACAGCTGTTTTCACTGTAGTCTCTTAGACTGTGTATTTCTGTGATGTCTGTGCACTGACACGGAAGCGTCAGCAGAAGCGTTCAGCCCTCGTGTTCAGCTTCCTCCTGTGAAGACCGTCGAGTGTAAAGACCTGTGACTTTCTGTAACACTGGACAGTGTTATTCCTGCTTCCTGTTTGCAGTGCTGCTGGTTTGTGATTGTAGCTTCGTGTAGCTTTGTTTTTCTGTAAAATCTCTATTACTCTCTGTTGTTTAAAGTGATAAATATAACTTAATTCCCACCATATTTCTGATATTATCTATCAGCCTAATCTGATTAATTTGATCGTTCGCTTTTATTCTAAAACCACGAGTGCAGCGCATCTTCAGCGCGTTAGCATTCGTTAGCTTGTCATTAGCGTTTCCATTCGTGCCTATTGCTTTATTTTCTTTCTTTTTTTCTATCGCTCCGTTTTTTTTTCCTTTTTTTTTTTCTTTTTTTTCACAAGTTCATCAAACAACTGTGGTAAGTAAGAATCATTCATCAATCCTCCTTTTCTGCTCTCTCTTTTCCACCTCTATCATGTGTTTCCAAAACATTCCGGTTGTCTCTCAACAACGCTCTAACATCACATGCAGATGGCAACGCAATCTTGCTAACCTGCATCCTATCTCTACATCTTCTACTGCACCTCTTTCTTTCTCTGTGGGTCTCTGGAATTGTCAGTCAGCTGTCACAGTCACTTTTAGTCTTTGGCGACTTCAACATTCTGGACAAGCCTTATGCTACAGACTTCCATTCACTCCTAGCTTCATTTGATCTCAAACGCCTTACCACTAACAAGCACGCACAAATCAGGCAACCAACTTGACTTAATTTACACACGCAATTGTATTGCAGACAACATTTTGGTAGAACCCCTACATATCTCTGACCATTTCTTCATTACATTTAAACTACATTTTGCTACCTTTGTGCCACCAACCCCTATACCAGTTACTTTTAGATGAAACCTACGCTCTCTTTCACCCTCCCATCTTTCCTCTGTATTATCCTCCTCTCTTCCCTCACCTACCCATTTCTCATCTCTGGATGTGAATGCAGCAACTGACACTTTATGCTCTACTTTAACCTCTTGTCTAGACAATATTTGTCCTCTCTTCTCCAGGCCAGCACCGGCTGCCCCTTCTAACCCCTGGTTATCCAATGTTCTTTGTGAGCATCGGACAAAACTCAGGGCAGCAGAGAGAAAATGGTGCAAATCAAAAGATCCGT